CCATCCTGCTACATCTGCGAGGCGCCAACCCAGTTTTTCGAAGAAATGCTTTGAGTTATTGATGACATATGACTCATGGAACCTGCCAACCCGTCGGTTCATACGAACGATAGTGACGCTGCCCTCAGTACGTTTGATGGCATCTCTGGTACTCACAAATACCGTATTAAAGGCGTTGTAGGTATTCCATGTCCCATTACTTGAGTAGGCTCCACCTCTGTACACAGGCCGTAGGGAATGTTGATCGTCATCTCTGTGGAGAGGATGTAGGATAATTCCAAGCATGTGAGAGCGCGTATCAGCACCTGCCGAGCAGCTAAGAAGCCCGATAAGGCAATACCCAAGCTTTGATTTGAGTTCTGGTACTTGCATGTAAATTGTCGGGATTCGCAAGTTGATTCCAGTATTTGTAAGGGAAAAAGACACTTCTGAGGCAAGTGGCAATGTTAGATCCGTGCAGTTCTCGAATGCTTTTGGAGACCTCGCTAGTAGCTCCTGCTCCTTCATTTGTACTCCATCATGGACAGGTATGAGATTTCCCGGTGAAAACAGAGTTGCCTCGCTGTTCAAGCCCCAAGCCAGAATTGAGTCATCGCTGTCGCTCCTCCTTATGATCTCTTCTTGCAGGCGTGCGAAAGCGCGCTCGCCTTCTCCATACAAAAGCGGCATATTGATATTGAATAATCCCAGCAAACAGTATGCAACGTCTTCCTGGCGACTTGTAATTCGATTAGATGCCCATGACATCTTTCTTGCTATGCAGAGGGCATCAAGCGATATCGCATACGACGCTCTGTACATATTCCTTCTGTTGACTAGACCGTAGCGAAGTACTGCTAGGTCAATTCTGGTAATATCAGAGATGTTTTGCGCAAGGGTTTGTCTTTCTCCGAAAAACGTCCAAGACTTGTCGTAGAAGAACACGTTTTCAGGCGCGATCAGCTCTTGCAGCGTCCAGCCGCGGGTGAACCATCGGCTTTTTGGGAGAGTTCCTTCAATTTCACCGGCCAGAACGTCCTCTAGGAAAGCATAACATTTGACGGAATTTGAATACCAATAGAACATGGAGTTGATAGCTTCTGAAAGCTCCGCGCTTGATGTCTTGTCGATACAGCACGTATCTACCCATGCATAAGCCAGCCCGTCTTGTACCGCTTGGCCGCAGGTGAATTCGATCTTCCGGTATCCAGCCTTTGTTCTGGTAGAATGCTGGCGCAAAGGCAAATCTGAGAATATGACTTCTTCGGGACCCCACGTATGAGATAAGATGGCGTAATTTGGGATGTTGCTGCCAATGAACTCCTCGAGCTCATAAGTTATGCAATTAATAAGGCGCATTTCCGAGGTACCTCTGTGGTATGTGTGGTTTGTAGGTGGTGGACATGGAATAGTCGTGTGGATTCTTGGAAGGCATCAGGCTGAGACTTCCCCGCTCTGACGCCCACCACGCTTGCTCAAGACTGGATCACACAATCACATGCTTACGCATGCAATGGTCAATAAAGCGACCATATCCACCTGAAAGAGCTGGTAAAGATTCATGTAGCAACATCGAACTAGCTGCTCTGCATCGTAGGCGGATTTGGTGTGATCATCTATCTATCCCAATTGGGTACAGCGTCATGATCTGATTATGTCATCAAAGTCGAGTCTCAGAGCAACGCTGTCATGCGAGAGCTCATGCGATGGCAGAGCGGAGGATCCTATGCGAGGTACCTACGAGAGGATGTATGATAGCCAAGAGTAAGCCAAACCACAGTGTCGCGGCTGACGTTGGCTGTTCGCGAGGTGAAGGTGAAAGCTGCATGTGATCGGTCTATCGTCATGGAGTTATTGCAGAGCCAGACTTTGGCTATTACTGTTGTGAGATATCTGCAGTCACTTCGACTAGACGCGGTCAGATTGATGAAAGCTATTGTAGTCCTTGTGGTCGCGGTGTTAGTGAGGGTATTGCGTCCTGCACCCCCTCCAGACAATAGAGACTTTCGTATTGTCGCAACGTACAGCAGTCAGTAGCACATTTTGCAGTTCTCAGCCAGCATATAAAATCAACCTCCTGCTCTTGACTTGCTCGTCCATCTCACACTTTCCTCACAACGACATACAAACCCTCAAAACAAACTGACATGTCGTCCACTTTCCTCTTCTTTGCGCTGGTCGCAGTCATGTTCTTCGCTCTTCAGGTCGCAACTTCGTTCGGCCTTCTGGGTTTTCTTCCAGCCGCGCTGGAGGATGGGGCTGGTCCCCATCTATCCTCTGGGGCATGGTTTTTTGCCGGCTGCTGTATCCTTCGGTCCTCGCCACCAGCCTGCCGTGCCCTCTCTTCCTCTGTCCGGATTCTCGCCGCGCTGGTTCGTGAGCTTGCTGTCCTCTCTCGCGACACGACGATAGCGGCCCTGAAAGCTCGAGTGCTGGCATTTGAGCAGAATTCGGGTGCCGCTTACGTCCCCCCTCCCGGTAAGCAGTCGCTGGTCGACTGTGAGGCCACCATCGAAACGCTCCGGCGCCAGATCAACAAGTTGACTGGCAAAGTCGCCATATATGAGCGACACTACAACGTCACCGCCGTTGACGCCGACCGCCTCACCTCCCACCACACCATCGCCAAGCTGAAGCTGGAGCTTCAGTCGAAGTGCGACGAGATTTCCCGGCTGAAAGATGCCATTATCCACAAGCGCAACGACACAACGGTGTCGACCCTTCTCTGCGAGCGGAACCGGCTGGAGGTAGCCCTTGAGGCCAAGAGCAAAAGGGTGAACGAGCTGGAGCCGATCGCTCTTCAGCACGGCCGCGATATGTACCAGCGCGACGCCCAGGTCGCCATATTCAACGCCCTCAAGGAGTATATCCACCGGATGGTGGAGGCGGGAGGTGTTCAGATGACCGTCGTGGTGTTGTTCCTTGGGGCTCTTGCGGGCAATGCTGGCATTGACCTTGCGGAGCTCGGTATCGACGGAGCCCAGTTCCAGACTTACTTGGACTACGCCATGGCTGTCTGTGATGGCCTCCCCTGTCCTCTCCTTCCACAAGGTATGTTCTCCTAACATATCCTCTACTGATTTGAAGACCGTTTACTAATCATTGTCTAGGTGGCTTGCGCCTTCATGGCATTCGGTATCCGCTGTCTGGTCTGCGCGTCTTTGGCAACAGGGTTGTCGAGGCTGGCCCCAGTGTCGTCGTCGCTTCCACTCCAGCCATCGTGGCCGCTGCCTCTTCGGTACCCCCCGTCGGCTACAACACCTTCAGTGCCCCTCCTGCTATCATGCAGAACGCACGGAATACCTCCTGCGCGACTCAGCATGTCGCCTCTGCCGCCCCTCCATTCGTGTTTGCCGGCTTCACAGCCCCCTCCAAGTCTCCCCCGGCAATGCCGTGTCCGGCGAAGACCTCCGCGCCTGCTCTGCTGGATCCCGTTCCCGTGGCGCCCTCCCAGCCCGCCACAAATGAGACGAGACAGATGAGCTTCCAGCCAAGCAAGAGGCCGGGTACTTTTGGCGTAGGTGGCGGCGGGATTGGAAAGACAAGTTCGGCTCCGAGGAGGTCTTGAGCGCGTCGGGTTTGGGGGTGGAAGCAGAGGCGTGCTTATGCGGTGGTGGAGGTGTCCGTTGTATTTGTTTCTGGTCATGAGCGTGATTCAATGCTTCAATAAAACCTGTTCAGATGCGCCAAATATCACCTCTGTGTCTAAAGTGACCCAGTAAGCATGCTCTCTTACTTTGAGCAACCATTTTTTCGTGTGTTGTCTTGATTCAGACCTGGAACTGCTCGACGATGCCAGATGTTGCTGTTGGGCCCAAGTTGGCGCAGGTAGTCAGAAGGCTGAGGGCAGAATGTCGCGTCATCTTCGCGTCGCGGGACCATTGGAAGGAGACGCGACGCCAAGAAGCTTTGACCAGGATTTCGCCACCCCACCCAATGCCTCGCACCCTGTCGCGAGCTAGATGCGATCTCCACCACGTTATCACTTCTGCACATTCCAGGTACATCATTCGGGTATCCTTAGATTCCTTCTCTCTCAACAGCTAGACTGGATGCAATACGGCCGCCCAACGTGTGGCTGATCGAGTGCGCCTCCATTGGGCAGATGCACGAAGGCTTAGCATCCATCTGCAACTCAACTATGTGCAAGGGCCACGCAACCTCGAGCTACCCTGGGCGTTGTCTCTGCATAGATGCTGGCACTGGACAACACTGCAAGTAGGCGATTGGATTGACCTGTTCCCCCTGGTGCAGCAGTTACGGTAATCTTCTAGAACCTTCTTTACTAATGGATCCAGTCAACATTGTGGAGTTTCGGAGACGTAAACATCTGTTTTACCTACCCATTCCGCAGCTGTTTGGCGGCATATTGCAGGAGACTTTGGTTTCCTGACATCTGATTATGGTCTTTTCTCGAAATCGCCATAGAAGCCATGGTATTAGGAGAAATGATTGTCTTTCGCGTGTCGTAGTCGCTTGCCCACCTGTGAGAAAGCGATTCCAGGGAGACAGACAAACTCTTCCAGCTCACTTCCTCGTTAAACGTCGCTAAATGCCTTTCTTGATCACCACTTCGCAGCTTGGCACACATCCAACTATCTGCCGCACGAGCGATGTCGCAGCCGCCACTCCCTGGAAAACCAGAACCTACATTTGAAGGTTTACCTCCTGAGATCTGGACGCAGATTTGTCACTCACGGTCGTCGTACGCAGACGGAGAGAGCTTCATCCTCGACCCCGTAAGCCTTTCTAGTCTCCGTCTCACTAGTCGAATCATCCATTCGAAGACCCAAGACGCATTCCTACAGCGTCATCTCGCTTCCTCCAAGTTCAGCCTCATGCCATGGAGTCTGGCAATTCTGAAGGACCTGTCTGAAAACGAGCATCTGTGCACGTATGTGGAAGAGTTGGAGTTTGGCCCAGAGGTATTAAATACGAATCTGGATGTGGACCTTCGATATATCAAAGAGCCGTGGGAAGAACCGTCTATGGGATGTCCACACCCTCAAAGCTACATATACATGGATTCTGCCCGACCCGTATGGCCCATGGTCAAGCTTCCGGAGCCGCTTTGGAAAGGCCTTACCGGAAGAGGTTCAGGATCAGCATTAGTGGTTCGTTGGAATGACCGAGGTGGCTATACCCACTGGCTTCAAAAGTACGAAGGCACACTCAAGAGACTGGTCGAGCACCAGAACCGCTTTAGCACAGCGGCCAAATACGTTCGAGATGCCATCGGAAAGCTTACGAACTTGAAGAGTATCAAGATCAATCCCCGTCCTATAGGGGCATATTACGAAGAACGATTCGCCAAACCCATACTACGGAGTAGAGGTACCATGTCGCTCTATCGCGCAGTCGGAGCACACGCCATCGAAGTGACCACCGATTTGGCCCCATCTGGTTCGAAAACTCTATTGGAGTTTAGCCTCGATGGCCTTCTCTTCATGGAGTATTACGCCGAGGTCATCATGCTGGAGAATCTTTCGAGAATACTGAGCACGGTTGATTTGGACAAGCTCACAGTTGACCTGACAATCACTGCGGCGAATCTTCCATCGAACGGCAGGATTTATGATCCTGGTCATCAAAGCTGGAGAGCCATAGCTTCGCGGATACGAAGTCTAACTTTCGATTGCGCAATGAGTGATATCGATGGTAGCGAGATTCCTGCCTTGCTAACATGGATATCGGAGATGATGATCTACGCTACTGCAGTCGAGCACTTCTATGGACGCAGCTGTGACTTTGAGTACCGGATGCTGCGGACTGTCTTTGTGCAGTCCTCCTGGACCAGTCTTCGAACGCTACATCTCTTCCGATCTCGCAGTCACGGGCGCAATTTGCTTCGGATGCTTCTCCGTCATCGCTCGACACTGGAAGATGTGAGCTTTTCGCATGTCACAGTCACAGGCACGAGTATAGCAGCATGGAGAGAGATATTTGTAACAATGAGAGACATGCATCGGCTCGGGCGCGTCACGCTTGATCAACTCGAAATACAAGGCGATCTCAATATGTCTAGCAATGCGCCGTACTCATGGGCTTCTAAGCCACTCACATCTGATCGGCTGAACGCCAAAGGGTACGAGAGGGTTTGCTCGATGTTGGACTTCGTGACGCAGCGCATATTACTTCTTTCGGGTCGAGATATCACGTTCTGGCTAGTACATTTCGAGCTTCCTCAATAGGAACTCATGTGTACCAACTTGACGATATCGCGAGCTCAGCCGCTTCTACGGATCCCAGAAGCAAATGAGTACGTTACGAAGCTGCGAACTGAATTACTTGTTTGGAAGCGCAAGCGGCGCACACTGGACGAACTCAGGTAGGAAAAGACGGTCTGACTGTAGCTCCAATCATGACCTAGGTAATTGTAGCTCTCCTAGAATCAAGCCACCCATTCAGAGTCAAGTAATGTCGCTGAATGCGTCTTTTGGTACGATCGCAACATGCAATCATCGACCAAGTTCGTCTGAGTAGAGCAACGAGTGCGCGTACATGCGGACTTTCAGATGCACAGCATGCAGCACAAGACTACCCTTGGTTCTATACCATGATGACGTTGTTACATTACTCGATTCTTCACTCTTACCAATGCAAAACACCAACTCGGCGGAGAATAGTAAGCATGCCAATGAGGTATCAGACAGTATAACCCAGGTTTTCGCAATGCCCGCGTATGCAATTCTTCCAGTATGCAGGGCTGACCAAGCTGGTACCTACAATTTGGCAATGCAGCATTATCATACGCTCTACTCATGGTGGGGCCACCATTGGTGTGGTAATACTCGAGCTTCTACTGGCATCTTTAGAGATAGGTTACAGGTAGCGACGCCGCGAACCCTGGTACCACGTATGGGGCCACCTTGCTAGATAGCACCTCATTAACAACAATCAGGGGTCTATAAAGACACACAACTTTATTTAAACCCCCGAAAAGTCTTCTTCATTAGCGATTCTAATAGCTTCAACGAGATCACAACATCCACGATACAAAACTTCCCGACCAGAAACCCGATATCTGGTAGCAGCATACGTATATTAATCGCTTGATATGTCTTCAAGCGCTTCAATCAACTCAGTTGATTCTCTCGAGGAGCTTTATGGCACCAACACAGCTACCGTCTCGCATGTCGTTGAAACGCCCATGGAAGAGGTCCGACGCTTCTTCCTGGGTAAAAGCCATACCCAGATATTGCAGTATGGCCTTGGTATGGAGATACCCGGCGCACCACCACTAGCGGCGCATACCATCGTTGTCACCATGGATTGCGAAATGCACGAGATAGAGCCACGAGTGCTGACAGAATATGGGCTCAATACGTTTTCGCGGAAAGAAATGGCGCCAGTTCTCAACAGTCCCGGTATACATGGGGAAAAGATCTTGCGGAATATCTACTACTATCACATTCGTGTACGCGAGAACGCACACCTTATCAACTGGAGGTTCGTCAAAGGAAACCCCGAAAGAAATCACTTCGGCTCAACGCGCTTTGCCACGAAGGAAGACGCAAAAGAGTTCCTGGTCGAAACACTCGCGTGGCCTATTGATGATGACAACGAGGATGGTCCTAAATGCCCAGTCATATTCCTCGGCCACTCAGTCAAGAACGACCTTCGGATGCTGCAAGAAGAACTTGGTATCGACCCCAAATTCGACAGCAACGTTGTCGCTATCATCGATACCCAGAAGATTGCGAATGAGCAGGGTATTCGTGGAAAGGGTCAGAAAAAGGGCCAGCAAATCGCACTAAAAACTTTGATCATAGCCTTAGTCATATCTTTAGGCCCGAAAGGGCTTATAGAGTTTTGTAGTTCTTGTTGTAGAGGTGTCTTCTAGCAATTTAATAATTTTTTTGTTTATAGCTCGTCTCCGGGCTAAAAGGCCTAAGACTATTAGTTAAGCCCCTTGTAACCTGCAGGTAGGCAGAGGGCCTATTTTTTTATAAATTTACTCGTAGGAGAAAGCGTTTAAGCTGGAAATATTTGTGTATTTGACAAAATTTAAAATTCAAAACTTTGATCCCACACTTTGGCGTGGAGTTTCGCGATGGTCATACAGCCAGTAACGATGCGGCATACACCATCATCAGTGCCGTACAGATGGTCTTGAAGAATTCGCTGCCGACCGACCCAACCCGCTCGCTGCAGGACGTTGTGGACGGTGTCTCTGAGGATAGTAAGGGGACTGTTGTGACATTTGGGTTGCCTAGATGGTGCACTGAATGTAAGGTTGCCAGCCATCTTGTTCAGCCAGGATGCAGGAAAAAGTTCGTTAAGATAGAAAGAGGGATGAGAAGTAAACCTTCTAAGCGGCCATGATCGCGCTGGTTGCACGCGTCGTACGATCCCATGTTTACGGATGGGGTGTTGGTGGAGGCCTGGTGGGCTGACGGGCATTAACCTCCCTATTTCTTCAAGACGTCGCTTAGTTGTCACTTCAGTTCAACAGGCTGTATTACTTGTATCGCAGTGTATAGTATTGACACCTCGCTACATCTCGAAGACCACCGCATCGACATGTCACCCTCTCCACCAACCGCGCGATCGTTCAACCTCTGATCCCAGACCATTATCATCCGATCTAACAGCACCTCCCCTTCTTCCCAGCGCCGTTCCAATAAGTCGTCGTCACATAGCCTCCTTGGTCGTTCCGCTTCTTCTCTTTAGGCCAGCAGCACGCCATGCAGACGAGGATGAAGAAGAGAAGCGCAACTGTGGCTGCCAGGCCGATCATGATGGCTTTGCCGTGAACGCCGAAGTAGACATACTCGTTGGGATTGGTGGAAGCGGCGCTTTCTGCTGGTGCAGTGGAGGCTGCGATAAGAGAGGTGGCGAGTGTTGTGGTTGCCATGATTGTATTTTGTTGGATTGCTGTGGTCTTTGGTGTCAGTCATCATGGCCATGGACTGAGAACGAGAAAGCACTCACTTACACAGTTTTTGAGCTAATGCGTGTCAACTCTTTGATGTTTTTGAGGCTAGCTGAGCGTTTGGGTGTATGGTTTGAGCTGTCAGTACCTAGGTACGCATAGAGCCACAGCGTGCTTTTATCCGTAGATTCAAATGCTTCTGCGCACGGTATCCTCTCACGACTTCCGCTTTGACATAGTCAAAGGTCTCCCTAATATTCTGTCTCAACGTACACAACATACAGAGCTCGCCTATTGAAACTCACTGTTTGCACAACTTCTCGTGGGAAGCAACAATCTTTTGAGGTAACATGCAGCTCTCCTTCCAAACAAGTCACTTTGTGCATGTATACCAGTACATAGCCACGAAGAGACCGATCTCAACGCTTTCTAATCTCCCAACGAACTGAGAAAAGGCCCAATAGGGCTGAACCGCCGACCCGTCAATACTTACACTGGTGGGAACCTGCATGGAAGGTTGGTAGAAGGCCCAGACATGGTGGGAAGAAGGTGGTGTGACCTTATTCCTAGTGAAGAAGGATGGAAAGGCGATGTAGCTCGTTGAGTAGAGCGAAACTCAATATCTTTCAGAGTGAGCTGGTTATCCAACGGCGTTTCTCGATCCTATGTCGGGCTTCGTTGCGTTCTTCTTGTCCGGATCTGTAACGATTCTGCCTTGCGACAACATTGTTCCACGATCCAATAAGACGGATGTCGCTTCACGAAACGTTACGCGAACGTGGCACTGCAACGGCGATGCATGTTCGTACATAGCGCCGGTGAAAAGGACCCTTACAGACACCGCAGTCGAGACGATTACTGCACGTATCCTTGTCTATGCATGCTTTTAAATTGGAGAGTATGACGAGAACTCGAATGAACATTCACCGCGAACATGAAGTCTGACGGCGGATTAAATTCTGTGGCTTTAAACTTGCCGCATAATATCGCTCTTCATTACTAATTACCTTTAATCGTACACTAACTGTCTTACTACTTCCGGTTCACCTCTGGTAGCGCAAAATCAGAAGTTCGTAGCTACCCCAGGTCGATGTCCTCTATGCATATCCGAATCCTCCATCTCCGCGACGCCATCCGGTACGTTTCCTTGACTTCTTGGATCAAGCTGCGGCGGAAGTAGAGGTTCGTTGTGCAGTTCAGCCGCTTCATGAAGCGTCTGGCGAAAGCTATCAGTACCAAGCTCACTCATTGGACTCATGGTCCCCGCGCCATGCAATTCAGCCGAGCGTGTAGAGCGTAGAGGTGCATTCGTGCCAAGCTCACTCACTGGACTTCTCACTCCCTCACTGCGGAGATCGGCGCTGCTTGTCCTGATAGCAGGTCCGCCGGAAGGCGAGTTTGCATGCCAGCCTTGCATAGTTGAAGTCTGAGAGATGGGCGAAGTGGGTGATGGTAGGCTATTCACGGCGTGTGGACTCAGCTCAGGGTATCGAGAGTCCATATTGCTGCCATGACAATGCGGTTCAGGTCGTTGTGCTGATTGGTAGTATCGCACGCTCTCATTGCCTCCACCACTCATTTCTGGTGGCATGTAGTAGCCAGTTTGGGGACGTGGTGATGGGATTTCCTCGCTATGCAGTTCAGCTTTCGAGCGTTGACGCACCGGTGCACCGGCTTCCATCTCCGAGTATCTACCGAAGCTCGAATCATTGCCGATGTTTGGAAGTTTGGGCCTCGGGCTAGTGTTTCGAGAAGGCTCCCATATATCTGCGGAGGAAGCGAGAGAAGATTGACGCTTGCGGCGACGCAGGAAGAGGAATATGAGGCCAATTATAAGAGCGATGCCTACAGTACCGCCTGCTGCTGTACCAGCTATGGCGGTAGTACTGAGAGCAGGCGCAGCAGCATCAGTGGTGGTAGGCTTTGGGGCCGTAAGGACAGTAGTCGTGGAGTGAATGTGTCCAGGAGCGGTGGTGCTCGACGCAGCACTGTTGACGTTGGCCGTGTTGAATGGTGTAGGTGCTTCTGCTTGCGAAGCCGTACTGGAAGCCTGAGTCGGCGGTACTGACGATGGTGCAGGAGGCGGTGATGATGACGGCGGTTCTGAAGATTGCTGCGTAGATTCGCCAGGCTTGGAAGTTGGAGAGTGAGTACTCGAAGACATGTCACTAGAAGTGACAGGCCAAGTAAAGGCTGAGCTCTTTGCAGCTGTAGTGGCAGACGCTGTAGTAGTGCTCTCGTGTTTCAATACCCACTGAAGGTATTCGTCGGCTTCATCGTTGCTTATGTGGGTCAATGGTCCATTAAGCCGACCCTCGCAGTCGTTTTTGAAGGTGATCATGAAGCCTATGTAAGAGTTAGACTGTAATAGTCAGGCAAACAGTAGCGAGGATGGCGTACGGTAGATGTCTGCGTCGTCTACACACGATTGAATGATGCAACCCGTGTAAAAGTTGAAGAAGATATCGATACCGCCTTTGTTGTCGCAAAATGATACGAAATTGCTTGCGCATACTGTTCCGAGGCCGTCCCCAAGGAGACAGCTATCCTGGAAGCAAATTAGGCGCTTCATCGTAGTAAAAGCGCAAGACCTGACTTACAGTACAATCTGGTACGTCAAATTCCGTATGACGCCTAACAGTGCAATCATCCTGCGAGGGATCATGCGTAGGATCCTGTGCGAGAACAATGGTCCAAAGAAGAATGATGTAAACCCACATCTTAAGCCTGCGTAACACTCAACTCTTTCAAAAAGACCAAACAGTTGTAAGATGCGACAGAAACCGATCTTATAGACCCTCAACAACACCTGCTGACGTAATGTTTGCTCCCAGTCCAATTCGCAACCTCGTGACACCACTGAAAATCTCTGCCCTCTGACAAACGGCGGGCGATTAGCAGACCAATCTCAGTCTCTCTTGGCAAACGGCAGTGTGCAGACTATCACTCGAGAGACGGTAAGTTGCAAAGACACGGGCACCTAGAGTCGAGTGACACATGTTTTGTTTGCACTACCAGTTCGCATGCACCGCCTAGTCCCGTGCGACTTGGTCAACGGAGATAAGCCTAAACCTAGCTCGTCGCCCAACGGGCATCCACAGGAACTGCTACACGAGCCGCAAGGATAAATTCCGAAGCAGTTCACCGGTGAGAATGGGGAGATATCAATAAAACCCAAAACACGCAATCTCAAAATGCACCTCCGCGGTTGTGGCGCGGCTCCAGATCCCCATTTCTCTCCCACTCATCCCGCTGCATCCGTTCAAATTGTGCCCGCGATTCCCTGTCTTGCCGAATGTCGATGGAGTCATCGCCGTAGCTAGGCCGGCGTGCGCTATACTCGCTCGCTGAGTCGTCTTGCGTATTGCGCTGGCCCTGCATGACTTGACTGCCGCGAAGCTGGTTGTTGGGTAGCTCGAATTGACCGTCATTGTACGGCTTGTGACCTGGGTACCGGACGAACGTCGACATGGCGCAGTCTTCGTCGGCTGTACCGTACTCAGGAATTGGGCTCTTAGGGGTTGTAGGGCTGAGGGGGAAGGCAGTCGTGCTCCGCGGCGAGCCGACGAGTGTCGCGTCGTTGTAGGTGGATGCGGTACCGTGCCTGGATGCTGCGGCGTCGGAGCCTGCGCTGCCGGTTCCCTGGAGATCTGAGAAGTCGCGGATTGATGAGTCGCCCCTCAAGGTATGGATCCTGTTGCTGAAGCCGTCAGGGTTCATAGCATCAAGCATCTGAGCGTTTTCGACGCGCAGCTTCTTGGCCTCCCTCTTTTTCTTCCACCAGAGCCACAGCAATCCGAAAACCATACTGAGGACGAGAAGGACTCCGATGACAATTCCCACGATAGATTGGACGTTGAGCTTGACACCGGCAGGAGCAGGCGCAGGATTCTTGGGGTCACTAGTCGTCGAGTCGGGTGTGGAAGGGAAGGTGACTGGAAGGTAGGGCTCCCATCGTTTCGGGATGTCAATGAGCTCCTTGTCTACCTTGTTACAGTGGTAGTAGAGACTGTCGAGAAACTCTGTAGCGAAGTTAGTGTTGAGCGACGGAATGTTATGCTTTACACAATAAGACTTACCTTCTCTGCCAATGTCACCGTAGCAAGCGTCGAGAACGCACTGCTGGTTGAACTCCGTGTTATGTTCGAGCGAATTGCTGGCCTTGCAGATGCAGTCGAGGTCGCCCATAAGACACAACGCCTCACCCTGTGGCTTTGTCGTCATGCACTTCTGTGGAATCTGGTCGATGTTAGTTAGCGCGCAGAAGAGCGGGTTTGAGAGCGCATACTCCACAGATGGGTATCTGTCCATCGGCTGGTCCCGTCGGTGTTGGCATTACGGTGGTTGTGGAATTGGTGATTGTAGTGGTGAGTCGCGTCGTAGTAGTCTTCGAGGACGCCGCGGAAGTGGTCGCGCTTGTGGCCTGAGTCAGTGTACTCGGTTGAGTAGACGTACTAGGTTGAGAGCTCGTGGTGGTGGTGGACTGCGCAGTGGTAGAAGTGGAGACCGGGATATGCGGATTGTACTGAGCCCAGGCTCCAGTGAGATCGATCAAGGTCTTACCAATACAGCCTGAAGAGTACTGCTTAAGGAATACTAGCCGGTTATGGGTTAGCTCTCTCACTCATTTTCTAATTTCCTTGGGGCGGGGGCACGGTACGCACGCCTTCTTTTGTCGTCACCGACCAAT